GAAACTCCTAGTTTCATTTCACTGACAGAGCTGACTTCATGAGCAGGTGACATGGGCAGTCACTATGGCCCTGCATTTCGTTTAACACTCTGCTTTTCCTGTCACAACATTCTTCACATTTTTTGAAGAAGAGCCTTACATTTTCATTTTACACTAAGCTCCCCAGATTCTATAGCAGGTCCTAAGGAATGAAAGATGTGAAAGTGCTCTGAAAAGTGTTTGCTAAATTTATTAATGTCCTGCCTCCAATAAATGTCCCATGTTCTCATCTCTGGAACCTGTGAATGTTGTCCTATATGGCAAAAAAGACTTTGTAGATGGATTAAGTTAAGGATTTTGAGATAGATTATCCTGGATTATCTGGGTGGGTCTAGTGCAATCACAAGAGTTCTTATATGAAGGAGGCAGTAGAGTTAGGATGGAAAGTCATGTAAGGGTGGAAGCAGAGTAAAGGGGATAGTGACTGTTATATGAGGTCATGAGTCAAGGAATGCAGGTGGCCTCTAGAAGCTGGAAAACCAAGGAAACATCTCCTAGAGTTTCCAAAGAGAACACAGCTCTGCAGATCCAGTTTGGACTTCTGACTTCCAGAATGCAGGATAATAAATTTGTTTTTTAGTCATTTAATTTGTGGTAATTTGTTATAGCAGCCATGAAAAAATAATACATATTACATGAAGTGATGTGTTGCTCATTTTGTACAAATCAAAGATGTTGATAAGCAAATAGCAGCTACCACTTATTGAGCACTTCCTATGCGCTATGCACTGTACTAAGCTCTTTATGTATATACATTTATGAAATCCTAGAACAATATTTGAGGTGGAAATTAAAGCCATAGAACTAACTAGAATGTGTCAGATTTGGGATCCAGGTTCAGTCACTCCAAGTCTTCCTGTCACTCCAAGTCTTCCTGTGTGTTTATCTTCGTTCCCATATTTCCCAGTAAACTTTGGCCTGTCCTCATGCTTTAACGTGCATTATGTGTGCACGTGTCACTGCAGCCGTAGGGGGGTGGGACCGGGCAGGAGGTGACATCCACTGGGGAGTCTGAAGGAGGAGGTGCTGCCTCGTCAAGACGCTGCTGGCGTCCAGGCAGCCGAAGGAGACACGAGGCTACAGGAAAGCGAAGGAGACGTTGAGAATCAGGCCGCTCGGGAGACTCCCTGCTCCTCGCCCGCCCGCGGGTGTTTTGGAGCCCGCGTGGTCTCGCCTCATTGGCTGCCGCGGGCCCGAGAGGCGGGGCAGCCTCCGCCTACTAGC